TCACTACTATACGATTACTCCAAAACACAAAACAAATTTGCAGAAACTAAACGCAAATACCAAATTGCAAAAGCTGAAGGGAAGATGAAATACTAAAATAATTGCAAAAACTGACGAAATACCAAATTTTGCAGAAGCGGAAGACAAAATCTCACTCCAAAAAATTATTGATTAAGCTTTATTTTATAAAACCAGCTCTGATACCATGTTAAAATAATTAAGATCAAACACAAAAAGGAGGCTAGAATTCTAAATAATCTGTATATTATGAATACTTAACCTTAACCTAAATACAAATAAAGTATATATAGATTAAACTGAAAATACTATTTTACCCTTAATAAATAAGACTATATAAATATTATTTAACATCAAGCAATTGTTACTGTGCATAATACACCTATTTCTGGAGATTCTTTAGTTAGCGAAGGGTGAAATCAGACTCCACTAGCTGTAATTAACCTCTCATTCTTTGTTAAGAAGCATACTTGAATTGCACGTACCTTGGGTCATTTTTTCCTTTCTGTCAACGAAAAAAACCCTTCAAGTGGGCTGCAAAAAGAAAAATGTTTCACGTATCACGTTTATCTTGTCTTCCCGTCTATATACTGTTACTCTTAATTAGTAATTGTTTGACAAAAAAAAAAAAGTTTGAATTGGAATATCAACACGGTGCATTAAGAAAATCTCTTATTTGGCCTGAAGGATTTTTCATGTGAGTTGTGTTAGGTTCGTATATTCATGCATGTAATTCTGTGTAAGTTCTTTGTAATTGATCATTTCCTTGCTAGAATCTACACTGCTTTGAATTATCAGCACAATGATTCCCAGGCTTCTGATCATATGACCTTCACAGCTGATCCATGTGTTGTCAGGTAGATTTCTTGTTGATCTTTCTACTCTCATATATTTTTTTATGATCCCTGTGCCAACCCCATTTTATTTTTCACAAAAATAATTGTGGATAGTACGTAGCATGCAGTAAGACTCAAATTAGAATATATCTAATATCCCTCATAGCAGGTATAGTTGTTAAATTAGGTTGGATTTGATGAGTTAATTTTAAAAAATTAGGATTTAAAACTAGATTTTAATTAAATTTTAAGTTGAATTAAAAAAGTATTAACCTGATAAAATTCAATTGATATAATTAAAAAATGTTATAATATAGATTGTCTTGATACTTAGCAACTAAGAAACTTCTCGGGATAGGTTTTCGAGCTGATTATAATGACTGCAAAACTGGATGAAGAAGTAACAAGTTGGAAATGGCCAGTTTGTTGATGAAATAGTTTACCCTTTGAAGTTTATGGATCGGTCAATTTACCTCCAAAACGTTTTCTCTTTGTGCGTGTGAATCAACCATCCCGTGTGAATCAGCCATCCCCTTAAAGCATAAAGAAAGCCTCAATTAAGCCCTTCCACCACTCTCTGTTGCTTGAAGCGGTGGAAAGGGTTTCATGACTTCTTTTTTGTCTCAATTAAGCCCTAAAGTTTGAAACAACTTTACATCATGCATTCAAAAGAGAAATAGAAAAATTAAGACTTATAAACTATGAGGAAGTAATCTAAAAACTAGCCCTTCACCGTCGTAATTAGATCTATATTGGTCGCTTTCAATGGTTATTTCTCACTTTTTTGGCTAGAGATAGATAATCCAAGAGAAATAAAAATTATTTTTAAAATATTTTTCATCCGAGAATTACAACTTCAGCCGCATTTTTTTTTAATTTTTTTGGTTCCTTCTCTGCATGTAACAGTTGAGGAAAGTGCAAGGAACGGATGTCGATCACATCCCAATCTTTGAAATTACTTCGGCTATGATGAGCTTGTAAAACCCCTTCGGCCATGACGGCTCAAACAAAGCTCGCACCCATTTGACCTCACTTGTCCGGTGTAGCACACTGCTAGCTATCGTGGGTCACCAATTTGAGTTCCTACACAAGTTTTGATCGCCTAATAAGTTCAAAGCTTTCATTATCAAACTGGAATTGAGCTCCACATGAGATTTAACAAAGTAAGTAAAGCATATGGATAATACATTTCATAAGCTTCCATGAACAATCCAACTTTTAGAAAGGTTTGATTCACTCCATACAGTTAAACTTGATCTACCAATCATTGAGACAAAAAGTACATGAATAAATTGAAGGCACACCTCTTGAATTTGTGCCCTCCGAATATTAATTAATTATATTATTATCACTACGTAACTCGTAAAACTCATATTACATGGACTCGTAAAAAAATTATTTTTTATTTAAATTAACTTAGATATTAGAGTGTCCCTAATCGTTTTTTTTTTAAAGCGTACTTTGCAGGCACACAAATTTTACACGCCTAGCTTTCTATGCCTTCCAACCCATAACAGCTCCCTCTGTGATCTCAGGTTCGAATCCTTGGTTGCTTATATGATGGCCACTGGAGGCTTACATGGTCGTTAACTTCAAGACCCGTGAGATTAGTCGTGGTGCGCGCAAACTGGCCCGGACACCCACGTTAATCTAAAAAAAAAATCATAATCTTTAAGAAGTTATATTTTTTTATATATTATAAAAAGAAATCAATTGGAACTTAATTTCATGCTTCATGGACATAGTTTGGGCGCACGTGATGCACATGTTTGGCAACTTAAGTCATTTATACTCTCTTCAAATTCTCTCTCCTTTTTTTTTTCAAAGTGAGAATTTAATATATATATATATATATAATATATATATATATATATATTATGCCAATTTATCTAAAAAAATTAAACATAATAAAATCAAATAAAAAACTAAACTGATATATTTTATTTGCTTTAGTTTTACTTTTGGTAAAATCAAATACTAATTTTAATTAATAGTTCTTTAGTTAGTCTATTGATTTTGAAATGCTTTGATTAATGAATTTTTGTTGGGATATTTTAGTACTTTTAATAAACTATATAATAGTTCAATTAGGTTTGATTTGTTTTTCTCGGTTTTAAAAATATAAAACTAAATCAAATTGTTTTTTGTTTATTTTCTAACAAAGATTATCCAATAAATTTTGAAAAAAATTGGGTTTGGTTAATTTCATATCTAATTTTTATAAATACTCTGAATAATCAAATTAATTTGTCAACCCTTATTTTTCACTTTTTTAGTATCCGCGCATGGATATTTTATTTTTGTACAAGAGAATACACATGAATGTTAGAAGAAATCCCCCCTTGTACGTTTATTTCTCCAAAATCAATTATGAATAAAACCCACTTAAATTATTCATAAATGTGTTAATATTATCCACTGATTTTAATTAAAATGAGTGATTTCAATATTTTTCTTTCTTAAAAATAATAATAAGATGAGTAATCAAATTTGAATCAACTCCTAAATTCCTGTAAAGGTTACTCCCAAGTCCCATTTATTATAATTCTTTTGATGCATAATTTAATGCCAAACAATAGCTGCAAAATTGAAAAAATTGAAGAAAGTTGAATTTAAATCCATGGAGTCCTAATTAACCACATATCAATGTTCCATATATTTTTATTTCCATCTATTCAAGTACATAATGATTTGTTGTGTGTGGTCCCGCACCATGTGATGGTGGAACCACCATATTTATTGAGAAGAAAGGCAGTTGACCCCTTTAAAATTAAGTGGTTCATGTACTGTAACGGCAGAATTGAAAATAGAAGAGAGGAGAAGAAAATCAAGAGAGAAAAAGAGAAGAAGAGGCAGCAGAGCAGCCTGTGTTCTTC